GGTTTGCAGGCCCAGCCTCTGTCCATATACATACCGCCTGCCCGACGTCCTGCCTCTTGACTGTACCACCTCACTGGCACCTCGCAGCGCGGGATGCGTACTGTGTATGCGATTGCACTTCTCTCTCATCTAGGTATAGGTGCCTTGGGTGCGAGTCTGCCCACTGCATGGGGTGCGGCAGACAGCATCTCGTTCACCCTCGCTACCTCCCCACAGCTCGTTGGACACCGCATATACGTCGTGAACGTCAGCGTAGCAGTGTCAACGCACGATGTAAGCCGCGTCTCTCCCTCCGAGCGTATCTCTACGTGTCTTGACATCGATGTTATCTCACAGGTCGTACTCGACACCGGCAGCAACGACCTCTGGGTCGACACGACACTCGGCGCCCCATTGGTAAACCACAGCTCTTCCAGCCCAGGCCCCGTCCACACGGAGACAGGCATCTCCGCACTCCTCGAGTATGGGGTCGAGAACGCGTACACGTATGCGCTGGGGGAGGTGCAGTTTGCCTCGGTTGAGGTTCCTTCCGCAGGCGGAAACGAGACGCTTGTCGTCCATAATCAAGCATTCTGTGCGACTCGACTATGCGTATGCAATCGAGGATGTCAGTGCTGACGAGAGTTGGGCGGGGCAGTGAACGTGCCGGGGACGACGAACATCACGCAGTACGGGAACGAGGGGGTCTTGGGGCTTGGACCGTACGTCCTCTTTGCGCTTCCTTGAAGTGATGGCGCACTAGCTGACAGGTGGATCATTGCGTCCAGTCCGAGAGGATGGAGCGCTGTTCGAGACGTTTTGGACGAGACAGAGTGGGATGCAGATCCGTTCCTCGCAACGGTAAGCCTGTTCAACAGCATGGCACTCTGCGCCAGCTGACGAGGGCGTGCAGATGTTCGAGCAGCACCCAAAGATGCAGCGATTCTTCACGCTGTCCTTCGGGCCGCGCGACACCGAAGGTGCGATCAACGCCGGAGCAGTGACCTTCGGTGCGTACCACACATCCTGTTGCGCGACGCGACTCGGACATGCTGACCTACCAGTGACACACAGGCGCTGTCCGTCCAGAGCTGTCCGCGATCCTCGACGCACCCAAGCTCCCGCTCATGACCGGGCAGTTCTGGGACGTCCCCTCCCGCGGCTTTGTCGTCGATGGCACCGTAGTCAACCTCAGCGGCTCCGGCACGGACGAGCTCCGCTTCATCCTGGACTCCGGGGTCTACGCGACGTTTGCACCGCCCGAGTACCTGCGCGCGATATACAGCCCGGTGCCGGGGTCGTTCCTGCTGGAGGACGGGACGTGGAGTGTCCCGTGCGACACGAGGATGAACGTGTCCGTCTTGCTTGGGTGCGTTCTATACCACGTTGGCTGAGGGCTGACCATGCGGGCTGAAATTCTGCGGCGGTAGCGAAACGGCATATGGGATCCATCCTGTGGATATGACGGAGGTGTACGGGCTGGAGGAGGAGGACGGGACGTGGAAGCCGCTCTGCAAGGGGCTGTTCCAGAGCAACCTCGATACTGAGATTCGTGAGTCCTTTCCTGTCATTGCGTGGCGATGAAACGGGTGCTCACATGGACGGCAGCGTTCTTGATCGGGCTCAACGTCCTGAGGAACTTGCATGTCCTCCACCACTATGGGGGTGTAGCTGGGAATCCAGAGCCGTATGTTCAGATCGTCCAGGTGAGAGATCAGCGGCGGGTCCATAGTACATGACTGACCTATCGTTGCACGTTTGTAGGCGACAGACATGGCACAGGCATCCGCTGAGTTTGCTGCCATGAACACGGCGCGTATCGATACCTTCTTGCGAGTAGGAGAGGTCACCGCAGAGACATCCTCGGTTGAGCGCCCCATGGAGTCTGTTGGGAGCACGGTGGTCCGCACGCCGGAGATCAGGCGGACGATGCGCGGATGGTATGTCGATGCTCTCCTGCTCTCCAGTGCATGCTTTGCTGTCCTGTACGCTATAAGTCGCTGGTTTCGTCTGCGAGCGCGCTGCGCAAGTTGTGTCTGACCCCATTCCGAGCGCATCACCGGCCCCGCGACGACGCTGTGGCAGCCGGAGGCCGACGCAAACCGTTCCAACTTCTGGGGCCGCTATCACTTGTCACACCCTGCTTTCTGTTGAGTCCGGCACACGGGAACGTTTAACCTCCCTCTAAAACGCCTCGGCGGCAAACCAACACTCACATCGCGTTTCGTCCCATGCATCACCGGCCACGCCCCCACCGGCCATTCCCGCGACCGCCTTCGACACCGACACGGAGTGGCCACCATGTGCGTGTTGCACTCGAGCCTAACCCACGCGAGCATATGCTATCCAAATCCGACTACTACACGCGCCGATGTCGACACTCTTCCATCGAATTCACTCTTGAATCCCTCAACTTCTTCTTCGACATCAATTATCTCTTCCTAGACAACCCGACAGGCTTCTTGTTTACAGACGCGCCGAGTTATGACTAGGAGCCCACACCCGCATTCGTTACACCCTCGTCAGCTCCCTCCAGCTGGCATGCGCATAAGTATGTGTTCGTGGGGACCACTCAAAAATCCCGCGCACCCAGCAGACGGCTGTTAACGCATTGCTTGTAATCGTGTAGCTTGCTACCGTTCTATACTCCAAAGATGACCCTACTTATGCCGAGCGGGGAGCGGAACTTCAACAAACGCCGGGACAATGACGGACGCGTTAGCCACGTGAGCGTGATCCGCGATGCGCAAATAGAGGCAAACAGGGGAGCGGTGAGAAAAAGGGCGCTCGTCGGGCGCCCCGAATACCCCGCGCTCGCCTGACTTGTCCGCCCGCCCTGCTTCCTGCTCTCATCTGCCCACCACGCCCGCCCAGCCATGTACAAGCTCCTCCGCCGCATCTCCAGCTCGTTTATTCCCCGCCCAGACCGGCCCTGGAGCGAAGACGGTGCGTCCCGCGGGGCTCTCCCCGATCGCACCGATGGTTGCTGGCTGGGACAAGTACACGCGGCTGACACGCGCCCTCTTCTTCCCCCCTCGTCACCTACGCACCGGCACCGCCCCCGTGTGTTCTGGAATGCCCTCGGAATGGCATGAACTCATCGACGGTGCGGATGCGGCTGCGGACCGACAGCGACGTCGACCGCGCCGCAGATTGGCCGCAAGCGCAGGCTGAGCACGAGCGAGCACGACGACGAGCAGCGGGATTCGGAGACCACCCCTGCGAAGCGGCACCGCGCCGAGTCTGAGGCCGAGGAGCAGGAGCAGGAGCAGGAGACCACGCAGCAGGGGAAGGAGACGGAGGAAGAGGTGGTGGAGGTCACCGAGGGCGTGCGCGACGTCGAGCTCGAGGACGGCAAGCCGAAGCCCGGGCCCGCAGCGGAGGGAGACGGCGTTGAGGCAGCTGCTGCTGCTGCTGTACCTCTCCCAGATTCCCCCCAGCTGAAGGCGACTGCGGAGGGCGAGGAGAAGGAGCAAGCCTCGAAGGAGGATGGCGATGCGGACGCAGAGGGCGAGGAGGACGTCGAGGTGAAGGAGGGCGAAGCGGAGACTGCCTCTGCAGCGGACTCGGAAGCGTCGTCGTCGGCATCCCCGAAGACGAAGACTGTCGTTCCCTCTGCCGAGAGCGCGCACGAGGACGTCCCCGGGCTCTCACTCGCCGCCGAGAAGGTCCCCGCGGCTGCCGCCGTCGAAGCATGAAGCGTGAAGCACGGACATACCCCTGCGCTTGGATATAATCCCAGAAACAGATACAGATACAGATACAGATACACCGACCACGCATACAGCGATACCCCCGCATCCAGGTCCAGGTCTATCGGTCGGATCCGCACGCTCATCCTCACGCTCACCCGCATTCACATACACACTCACAACCCCATTCCCGATGTTAACGTATTGTACACTGCTCCCGTCGTCCGTCGTTTGTGTTGTTATTTCTTGTTTGTACGATGCTCCCCTGCTCCCGATGCGTTATTCTTAATGAGCCACTCGCTTTCTTGCTTCCCTCCTCCATCTCTCTCGTCCGCCTGACATGCGCATGCTTTCCTGCCAACTCCTGAGTATCACCACCGTGGTAGCCCTCGACCGTCTGTCCATATCGCCTTCTTTGTGGGCCCTCGTCTTTCCGGGCCGTGCGTCAAGGACTGCATCCCTCCCTCAAGTTTCTTACCGGCGCATTCCTCTGTCTACGCGAGGTTCATCGGATGCGTCCAATACCCACCAGGACTCTATGCCACTCGCAGCCGCTCCAGTTTGCTCCTGTGCTTGATCACTGTGTCACTCCGGATCCGGAGCGCGTGGGCGTCAGCTGCATACCAAGATGCAGCCAGACCCGGACAAGGTGAGCACTGAGAAAGCCCTTACGTTCGATGGCGCATGCCGGACGAGCTTCCGCTGACGCCGTTCTGCAGGACGCCAGGGCTCAAATGCAAGGGCCTCATCTCTCGCTCGCAGTACTCGATAGAGTTGGTGTTCTACAGAAGGACTCGAATGGATGTGGACGGAGTTCCTTGTCAGCCTGTAGCTCCTCGTCCCTCAGACTCAGAGTACATGAGTACTGGTGCCCCGCCAACCGGATGGCGAGTGCGCGCTTCAAGCAAGCTTCCGACTCTGCACCGTGCCACTTCAAGCACCCGGACCAGCTCCTACAGTCACGCTGCCTACGTCAAGTTCCTCCTAACAACCAGTGGCAACCACCACCTTCCCTCCTCCTCAGAGGACGGTAGGGTTACCTGCCGCCCCTAGCCCCACTTATCTGTGTCCGAGGGCTCGAGGGGGGACTCGGGAGCTGATGCGCTCTTGCCGAGCAGCGACTCAAGCTCGTCCCTCCCCTCCTGTGCCAGGAATACGAGGCACGACCGGCAGTAACGTCTGGAACCGAGATTACCTACTCTATTATAGACGTCGTCAGTGCGTTGATCTACGCCATCATTGAACCAGGTGAACAGTCCGTGCTGCGATTGATCATACATAAAATGCCATGACCTCTGTGTTATAATTGTGTGTACAGAGCGTTGCATGGCCCGCCTAGCTCAATCGGATAGAGCGTCAGACTCTTAACTTCGTTGTGAGAGTGCGGGATCTGAAGGCTGCGAGTTCGACCCTCGCGGTGGGCTAATCGACCGGAGAGCTAGAATTTTTTGCTCCTCCCCAGGTGTCAATGGCCCAGGCCCCGCCGGCTATGGTTCCGATTCCACTTGTTTGGAATCGGTATTCTGAGTGGTAGGGGAAAGTGGGATTAGGTAATCAGGGCGTGCAACCAGGGAGTGATCTCATTGGCTGGCCGTTTTATAACCATATATGGCACCCCAACAATAAAAGGTCAACTCTCTTACTACTTAGTAGTAGTTGACGACGTTGTCTTCAAATCATATCCCGCTGTTTGAGAATTCAGCCCTGCGAGCGAGGACGAGCGGGCGATAGCCCCGAGTCGACACTACGGGAAGTAAACACACTTGTAATCAGTGTATGGCACAATTGAAAGCTCGATAACATTGTGTGATACACTGTTTGTA